ATGATGTATGGGAAGGTTTTCCCCTGTGATAGTTCAAATGGTTTGATGGCCCGAAAAGGTCACTTAAAAACATAATCTCAGCTAAAAAACCCAGACATTTTGTTCGAATGGATCGTATACTGTACTTTGAAAGAAGCAAAATCCTAATCACAAATCACAGTTAATGGTTCATGTTCGATACCTTCACCATGATTCGATTAACAGCCACTCTGCACTTACAAAAACAGCCACTCTGCACGCGGCACTTACAAAAACGGCTTCGTTCCAAAAATTGTATTAAGATACTAACGCGCTATGCATAGATTGCGCGTATTACGTACGTACGTGTTATGACGTTGTTGTGTATTCTGTTACGTACGATTTGCTGTTCTTATCTAACGGATTTGATCGCTAATTCCATCCATGATTTTGGTTTAATGAATCCGTCTGAATTTCCGAGTTCAACTGAATCTGTGAGCTTGTTTCTAGCTGAAAGGTCGTGTGACTCTAGGTTAGAAGGAAGATCATATCTCGTTCTGTTCTGTTTACTTGTCTGTACGCTATTAGGCCGTTATTGGCGAAATCACAACCGGGTGTAACGAAATCAAAACTGGGATGTTAACGCCGTTAACATTCTAGCCCGGCAAGCTTGTTCTTACCTGCGCAGACTGATTGTGTACTGTATTCGCTCGCACATCTTGAACCACAGAGTGAGTGTACGGGAAAAAAGCGCACTCAATATACACACGCTAACTGGGCAAAATTCACGATTCGCAAACTTTAATTACTTATTTGCTGCAATAAGATGATAAGTACTGTATTCGCTCGCACATCTTGGACCACAGAGTGTGTGTACGGGAAAAACGCGCATTCAATATACACACTCTAACCGGGCCAAACGCGCGATTCGCGATTTGATAAATTTCTGATGTCTTACAACATCTGACTGAGAACTTCTTGAATAATGAAAAAATTAGAGCTCTAACAATTTTATCATGTTTAGGCTCGAAAGCAGCCATTAACATACAGCTTTGGCGTAAGCACGAGTTACAAACGGATTTTGTTGTGGTTTTTGGGGTGCCCCTGATGGAGGGGTACGTTCCGCGTCAACATTCTTGATGGCGATGAACCACCGAACAATGCGAGCTTTCAGCTACAGAACCTTTTTTTTCCAGAGTGAATTGCCATTTAAATGAAAAGACTTGATTTAATAAACAAAAATTCACAAGAAGAACTGTTCATCTTGAAACCAAATGAGGAATATTTCGTAGTCGTGCATTTTGCCCGGTTAGAGTGTGTATATTGAATGCGTGTTTTTCCCGTACACGGACTCTGTGGTTCAAGATGTGCGAGCGGATACAGTACCCTAGATACAATTCAACATTTTATTCAACGATTTTTATTTTACTTAAGTAACCCGGTACATAGTACCTAATTCGTGTACATTCACAAAAACTTTGACATTTCACCTTCTTTTAAAATCTTTAAAACCTCGAAGTTCCTCAAAATTCGTTTGTGTTCAAACAAGACTGAGCTTTATTTGCCCTTTTGCGCAAAATTCGAAGATCATCTGTCCATTACGAGATTTTCCATACTCGCGCACCTAACCGAGTTCAAACTTCTGGAATTTTCTTTCAGCCATAACTTTCTAATCGGTAGTGGCGTGCGCAAACAAGCCAATGTACACAAATCACTCTGCTACATAAATGTCATAAGAACTGTGCCTTATGGCATTGTGAATTTTGGAAGTACGTGAAAGTGAATGTTTTCGTGTATGTCACCAAATTTGGTGCCACTTTTGGCGGAAAGAAACTTTTGCATTATTATGCAGTGGTCAGGTGTATTATTCGAATTGCTGCCGGGCGATGCGCTAAATGCTGCATGATGTTTGCTAGTGATTCGCATAGCGTTATATGCACAAGAACGGCGTTTACACGATTGTCCAGACAGCATTTGTAAAAGAAAACACATTCCGAAGTAAAAGACTTGAACTGGAAAGTAAGACCGGCACCCATGTTAACGGCGTTAACATTCTGGCCCGGCTAGAATGTTAACGGTGTAATTTGATACCATTAATGAGCCGTCGAAGGTCTGTTTTACTTGAATATACAGCGCCTTAGCATGTGTGCTGCAGCCTGTTTCCTGGCTGTCTATCTGCCCAACAAGTCTAACAGCCAAGCGTAGATAGGCGCATTGGTAACTAAATTATAAGCAGAAAGAAGGTGCAGAAATTTTGGGTCAAAACATACCTGTAGTATAAATCGTTAACTACTGATTAACGAAAACCAATGATTTGTTTTTGAAAAATTTTAATTATAACTAAAAACGGTTAGCCAAAACATAATCCAGGTACCGCTACTCCTGTGCTGATTGTTATGTCATCTTCTTGTTCCCGCATTTGAGAGGTGGTTTCGCATCAGGCACCTCAGTCATGCGTTTTGCTTTCCGTTCTAGACCCCTTCCGCCCGCAATTTTGCAAACCCTCTTTTAATACCCTTTAAAAAACGTTTCTAGCAGAAACGGCAAAAATAATTAAACTCGATACTTCTATAGGTAATTATTATTACATACGTTGTAGGATTTGTATCCATAACATGAATCATTAAATCCATGTACAACGTGTACGATTTCGGTCGTTAACATCTGGGCCCGGCGGGAATGTTAACGTTAACATCCTCGCCCGGCACACGTGTTAATGCGTTAACCGTTAACATGTTAACAGTTCTGCCGGCTACATGCGCGAATAGGTTGTCAGCCAGGTCGTCAAGCAAGGCGCATGTCCAACTGAAAAAAAACGATAATAAGAAGGAGAACGTGCTCGTTTTGTCGTTATTGAAAAGCAGCAATCACGGCCCTACACCGCCCTACAGTTAATTTGCGTTGACTTTCTCTAGCCTCACACTGCAAAACTACTCCGCGGGTTTACCGTGAAAGCAAGGCAAGATGGTCTTTATTTCGCCCACAGCAAGCGCTTGCTGGCAAGTTGGACAGATGTTGCTCGATTCCTCGATGACCTGCACTGGCGGTAGCCGTTGCATTTCCGACAGTTCAAGCGGAGTCCCGTAAAGTGGTACGTAATCCCGTAAAGTGGTACGGTGGTGGTGGTGGGGGTGGTGGTCGTGGTATCTCCTTGTGGGACGTTGGCTAAGGAGGCGTCGATAAACCGGCGAATTTGTGACTCCTGCAAAGCTTGACCGCGTGCCGTTTCCTCCTCTGTTGCGGCCCGTGCGGAAGCTTCAGCGCCCGCCGTTCCTCTGCCACTCTGGCTCTGGCTTGCCGGCGTGCGTGTCTTCTGCGCCGCGCAATGACGACGACCAGAAGGGGGATACCGAGACTAGCGGTAATGCTTAAAAAAGTCATTACGTTTAATCTGATTGAACGCAGTGATTCGGTGAAAGATTCGGTCCATCCCGGCGGGACGAAAGGCGCACGGTATGGATACACGTAACTGCATTCACGATGACAAAAACATACAGTCAGTTAAATCCTGATGCTACAGAAACTATTTGAGATATAAAACTTTAGATCACGGAATCTCCGGCAGGGAAGCAAATGGGCCTAATTGGCCGATCGCCATGGAATTAGCGCCCAGTCGGTATCTGCGGGAAAGCAGCAAAATATTCTTCAGCAAATCGGCATTCCGTAAACTACGCAGGAAACAGTACAAAAATGAATCATTTCAGCAGAAAGTAAGGAACTTCTCTACCCAACAGGCAACACATAAGTTGCGCCGTGTTTACGTACCGTATCGCCGAGAACGCATTGTACGCGTACTGGACCAGTTGCACTTCTGAGTCATGCTGGACGAAATGCATCGCAAGATAGATCTGAGTGGCGATGTTGCCCGGAATCGGCATCGGGAAGAGTGTAGTCCGCGGCTGTGCCGGCGCCGACGGAACCCATCCTCCATCAACCGCCCTCGGGGCTGCTGTATCCTTGAGAACAGCGGCATAAATGATGATGCCGCTGTAGCCTCTGGTCTGGGCATTAATGATTTTTTTTTGTCACTTGTCTGTTTTCTGTGCCAAAAATGCCTGTGTTACGAGAGCGTTGTAACAGTTAACACTCTCAGTTATCTATGGTTTAATTACAGGGAGTTTTGTTGTGTGCCGCGCAGGCGCAGCCCATGGATTTGCCCTAATCCGGTGTAGAACGGTCTCATATTCATCCAAAACGTTTTCTACACTTTGTTCCTCGGTTTTATGAAGCACGCAAGTAGAAAGAGTTACTTTCTGAACAACATCAGCGGAGTTATACCGCACAAAGGTGTGCAAGTGACAAGTTACCGTGTTAGCAACTTGGCGCGCAGTTCACGTACATACCCCATTTCAGGTAGGGGATTTTGCGAGTACATCGAATTTGATCGAAACAATGTATCTGTAGCGCTTCTCGCATCGTTTGAGCGTACTAGGCTGAATAATTAGTATAAAAATTGGCTACAGTTTCGAAGAATACCATAACACTTCTTGATGGTCACTTTAACATCTTTTTACTACCAGCTTGATCGCAATTTTGTCTAGCAGAAACACTAGCTGGAACATGGCATTGATGCAACTATAAAAGTACTTTTGCACACACTTCAAAAGGTTTCTGGTATGCGTTGCTGCATTACATAGCGGAATGTAACTTAAACGCTTTGGTCGCATGAACATGGTGTTTATTATAGTAGAATCTTTTAAGATATGCCACAACAAAAGTAGCGAACAAGCCCCAGAAACCAGTTTTTGTAGAAACTAAACATCTCGGATCAAGAATCTGCACATATTAGGATTTTCGCGGTGGCCGTTAATAAAATTCCGGTTCTTCACCAGATCGTGGTATCCGTTATATTCATATTCCGTGTCAGTGACGTTAAAGCTGAAAAACGAAAAGGCAGTGTTACGCTTCCTGCTTATGCGCTTAGTTACTTCCCGAAGAACCACGCTTGCGCTACTAAATCTGGTCAGGTTTGCAGCTACATATCTGTTCCAAGTTCCAAGTGTTCTAACGCAAGTTGCTTTAGTGGATAGTTTGAAAATGAATCAGACATACTGTCGGAATTCAATTCCAACAATTCGCTTCCCGAAGAACCATGTGTTGCAGATAATGGGCGTGCCACTGTCGGCGTGTTCTGCAAAGGCCCCGTCACTGCGTGCACACATCTGGTCATCTTGGATAGCGGGGATTTGAGCCTTGCATGCAGCTGTACGAGCAATCTTCGTCGAACCAACTTGCAGAACCGGTGTGAAAGTATCTGGAAATTCGTTTGAATTGCCCCAACCGTAGATTTTACACTGGTCGTGCCGCACAAAGAACGCCTCGAATCTCGACATCAACTTCAACGGTTGTATACGATCATTGAATCCAGGAATGTTCTATGAAAATATTGCAATTAAATTTTGCACACCTGTGTTGCTTTGGATTAAACCAGGAGATTAACATATATTACACAGCATGAATACACTTGCTTACGTTTTCCAAGGTGATCACACATAGGTCATGTTCATACAGGATGTAATTAAAATCTTCATGGCAATGATAGCCGGTTACATTAATTTCCAACTGTCCGTCCTCGTATTCGGTGAGATTGTGCTTTCCAAAAACGCATTTGCGATGAGAATATGTCGACGTGAACGACGCGCACACGTGACCATTGGTTAGCACTTCGTTCTTCCTTAGCTGAAACAATCACTGTGAGTACGTAATCAAAATTCGTCGGCGGTACAGTACACAATAGGTTCACAATCATTAATAATTAGCTTTACGTGATTCCGCATAACTTGCAGACACACATGTACACTTACTACTAGACCGGAAGCAATGTGCTGGTGGTCAGCTGGGTGTGCTGGTCCCAGTGCCATGATCGAAACCAGCGCGGGAACTTTATGCGGCTTCGCATCAGTGCCATTGTAAATCGCCTCTGTTGCGCAACAGAAAGACAACACTAGAACAGAGAAAACCGGGTTCATTTTCAAGCAACAACAGCCACAGTAGCGGTAATAAACTACAACGACACTGTTTCGGAAATTATTCTTTCACTGCATGATTACTGACGGCAGAACTCCGTAGTCCTGATGGCTGCCGCAGAAATTGCCGACGGTTTAGCTGAACAATATACTGGCTACAACAGCGATACTTTGAACTGAAATTGTTGTGTTGACACTTGACAGTTCGGTACTGCTATTACAGGAGAAAAGGCAATGACACTTGTGGTACCCGATGCAAATCCACCGCCTCTGCATTTTCTACGTTGTAGGCGTTATTTATTTACGGTCATGCAGCTTGGTGAATCACTGAGAACAGCAGTGAAAGTGGGTAAATATGCAGATGTACTGAGTACTGATTAGTACAAACCGCAAACAGTGCAGAGGTCAACGCTGCAAGTTAAAGTTCCACATCTTCGGTGCATTCATTAAGAGGCGTAGATCATAAAGCACACTAGGTTGTACCGTTCTGATATTTTAATATCGTAGTATCGTAATACGCCCACCATCGTCTCAGCTTGAGCTTGTACTAGAAACACGCGTTCAAAACGTAGAAATAACAGAAACCTTTGTACGGTACCGTCGGTACATATGTAGTACTACACATATGTACTACACTAACTGAAGTAGTAGGAAAACCGTTTGGAACGTCTTTTGCTGAGCTTTGCCGGCCGGAAGTTTCGCCAAGTTACCGGAGAACTCGAACTACGGCCTTTTTGAGACAACGATTAAGCCTCGCAGTGGTCAGAGAGAATGCAGCGGCTGTTCTGGGTGCAGCTTAGGACTAAAAAAACGCATAATCCCGGTTAGGTATATAGGGGACAAAACCAGGCATCTTCCACCGTTCCCCTGTAGTGCTGCCGTCAGCCGACTGGAGTTTGACGTTGTGGCTGAACATTGCGTTTACGTACCGCGCCAGTTTTAACAATATGTACTGCTGTAACGTCAAACTCCAGGCGGGTGACGCAGCAGTACAAGGGAACGGTGTGTGAGCGCAGGCGTACATGCGTACACCCTCGCTTTGGCAGTCTGTTGTGTTTTGTTGCACGCCCGCCTACGTGTGGCGAAAGCATGGTGTTCTGCGCGCACCCGCATCATGTGGCGGCTACGTGCGCATTTTTCACGCTTGCTGCAGTCAGCAATGCGGAGTTGTCCACGAGGAAATTCTATCGAATTTAGTCTTGTCTATAAAGTTCTAGCAATCACGCCGTTTCTCGCTTTCCATAGCGTAGGCGCTGTATAGCATTGCCAGATCTGTTTGGCAGGCAGAATTCCGTCAATTCTGTTCCTGCGCGTGAACCTTCATCAGGTCCACGCTCATATGGTAGCAAGAGTCGTGTTTCTCCAGGATAATCTGTGAGTTTTCCCGTCCATCTGACGAGGTGTGGAAGACGTTTCCGCGAGAAAGGGCTCGCGTACGGTTTGGTGGCGAAGGAGCGTTTGGATCCAGTCAGCAGACTTGAAAACGGTGCATCTCTACTGCGTAGAGTGCACTGTATCAGTCTGACGCGACCAAGGTTACTGCCGTAGCTTTGGTTGGAGGGGCACAAGCGCCGAGAAAGATCGCCACAAGAGGCAGAAGCCCGAAGGGGGGCACGAGTGGGCAAGCCACTTTTGGACTGCGGGTGTGGAGTTCAGGTTCGTCTCTACTGCGTAGAGCGAACACATCATACGCGCTCCCCCAAAAGGGTGGTCGAGCGCCCCTGTCGTCGCCAACGTCAAGGCACGACAGAAGACCCGCAGCCAGCAAGTCTTTTGGTCGACGCACCGCTGCGTCCTGCTGACACGAAGCAGAAGGGGTTATCGGCTGGCCCAGGAGAAGTCAGCTTAATCGCTGGAGGATTGGAGGATTCGCGGAAGGACGCGTTGGATCGATTCTGGATTCTGGAAATCGATAAAGGTCAGATTTCCGTTATTAATTTTAGAATTGGCTGATAAGTAGAATTTTCAATTTTCATTGGTCGGTTCTGAGCTGAGCAGAAAAGTAGGCAGTACTTTTGCGCACGGCGCGCTAGTGAAAATTTTCGATTTTGGTCGTGACGTCACTCTGCCTTATAAACTGAAAAACAACTTACCTGATTGGTCGATTATTCGCACTGTGATTGGCGCAGCAGCGTAGCTAAAGTTAGCTAAGAAATCAGCCAACTAGAAGCTGAGATTTCGTAAGGAGGCGGAGTTTTTGCGCACGGCACTCAAGATTGTGACGTAGCTAGCTAAGAAAATTTTCTGAACCAACCGATGAGAAGTTGACCTTTACCGAAAAATTGACGAGATTGATGACCTTTAATATAAGTGCCTAAGCTGAAGAAATAACGTTTGTTCTGAGGAAATCTAAGTTGATTTCTCAAATAAAATCCAAAAATATTCTCAGGTTAGACGTTTCTGACTAAAGTTGTCAGTGACCTTTATAAGGAAAAAGTTCTGAAAGAAAAAGTGACCTTTAACGCGACGGAGTAAGCTTTCAAGCCGAAACAGTGGAAAAATAAGCTAGATTTTGCAATAAGGAGTGACCTTTAAAAAGGGACTTAGTCAAATTTTTTCAAAGAAAAAGTGACCTCTAGGAAAGACTTAGCTCCTTTTGAGGCAGAGTGACCTTTAGCAAAGCTGAGCTGATAAAAACGAAGGTGACCTTTAGGACAGCGCTTGTTTCTGTTTACGTGAAAAAGGGCTTACGTAGCTAAAACTAACACACGTGTCAGAAACATTATTAGCATCGTCCAAGTTATCCGATCATCAATAAACCCAAAGACATGGATCAAGATACAGACGGTAATGAACCGGTCTCAGCGGGTAGTCAGAGAGAACGGTCAGAAAACCCTTACGAGCGGAAATTAAAGCCGTTCACACGTCCAGTGGAACATGAAAGAGCAACTCGAGCTCAGAAGACCTTTGGGAGGAAGGACACCAAAGGTTCAGAAGCCACATACCAAAAGGCTCTGAAGGAAACCTTGAACAAAGAGAGCTCGAGTGACGGAAGTCAAAACTCTGGACGGCACGCCGACGACGGCACGGTAGACCAGTCAAAGGTCACCGAAGAGAAAACGGCTACGGATGGACAGAATAAAGATGACTTGAAGGCCGAGACCGGAGGAATGGCACGGTCGGCCGAAGTGGTCAAAGAGGAAAACGCGGATTTAGTTGAGAAGGGAAACGACGAAGTCAGTCAAAAGGTCACCGAAGGGGGTGATGCCGTCAACAGCAATCAGCTGTCAGACGAGAAAAAGGTCGACCAGGACGACCTTTCGGATAACTCATTGTTTTCGAAAGAGTTGCTGGATGAGAATGGTACCAGCCCTATGTCAAATGATAAGTTCTACACCGACGACGAAGATGAGACGACGGTACAGATGTCATTCCACACGGCAATGAAGCAAGCTGATTTAGCAGATGGAATGATAAAGATGACCTTTAATGAAAAGTTGGAAGAGACCTTCGAGGGAACGGCGTCAGGAAAGGCTGACAACGAAAGGTCACCAACACCTCCCACATCGAACGAAGCGAAGCAGCGAATCAGAGAGCTAGAAAGGCTCCTCGATGAAAAAGAAGAGCAAGCATTTGCTGCCCTACGAGAACAGCGAAACAAAACTATTGAAGTCGAAGCAAGAGTATTCCAACTGGAACAGGAAAAGGTCACGCTGGAAGAAGAGGCAACACAATGGAAGGTCAAATATGTTGCCCAAAGACAGGCCGCGGAAGAGCTAAGGAAAATGGTGGACGATAAAGACATGGAAGGAATCCTCGCAGTAGAGGACCTCAACAACAGTCTCTCCGAAGAATCAGCAGAAAGGTCACGGGAGATAGCGGAATTGAAAAACGAGCGTGACCTTTTGCAGTTAAAGGTCAAGGAGGCCGAGAGAAAGTGCGACGAAAGCTTGGCAAACGCGACAAAGTTCACGGGAAGGATATCCAGTCTGATAGCAGACATCACAAAATTAAAGGATGACCTTAAATTGCGAGAAGAGAGCATTAAGACGCTGCAGACGGAACTACAAGAAAGGAAGAGGAAACAAAGTGAAGCAGAGAGCCAGAGAGATCAAGCCGCACAGAAGCTTCTCGAGCTGGCAGGGACGACAAAAAACGAAAGCAAAAGACTGAACGACGAAATCGAAAGTCAAAAGAAAGAAGTAAAGAAGTGGTCAACCTCGGCACAACAGAGTGACGAACGGGTCACTGTGCTAGAGACTCAGAATAGAGAAGGGCAATTGAAAATTGAAAACCAAAAAGAGGAAATCACTAAACTAAGCAATGAATTGGTAGGAATGGCCACCACAATAATGGAAAAGGATGATAAAATTAATGAGCTGGAAGCCCAACTGAAGACAGTCGAAGAGGAATGCGGAGCGAGAGGAAGGACCCTCATATCTCGGGCAGACCAAATCACTCGACTGCAAGCAGAAGCGGAAATTCTGAAGGAAGCAAAGAAGGACCTCGATAAGACCCTCGATCAAAGGGCAAGCACAATTATCGAGCAGATGAAAAAGGTCACCGAAGCAAACGAGAGTTACGAGAAGCTAAGAAAGGATGCAAATGATTTGGTCAAGGAATACCGACAGATAGACTCGTTGAACAAAACGCTCCAAGAGGAAATCAAAGCGCTTAAAAACTCAGCAAAAGCAAAAGAAGAGGAAACAACTAAACAGCACTTAAAGGAGCCGAAACGGATAGAGTCTCCGCCCCCTGGATACGGTGAAGTCCACACGGTCGAAGGCAGCTTCCATTTCGAAGCACCCAAAAAGACTGGAATGGGCAGAACTGACGACCACGATAAAGAAAAGGTCAAAAAGGAAGACACCGAGTCGGCGAAGGTGCACTCGGGACCGAGCGGCGGGAGTAACTCAAAACAGCAAAAAAATACGCACGATGATATGCCAGAGGAA